AAATATTAAGGATATGCATTAATTTATCTTCTTCCAATCACTATACATCAAAATAAATTGGGTAATTTTTATTCATGTTTTATAGCTGCATATCTTAATTTCTTAATAAATCAAACCTTGTTGAGCATCAGCTTTATCTAGCTTAGCTTAAGTTCACCTTTTGTATCTTTTAATTTATTCTACACAAAATTACTTACAATTTGTTAGCAATTCTGTCCAATGTTTCGTTCTCTTAATAGCCTCTATTATTTAAAGTTTTCTTCTTTAATTTGAAAACATTTTGGTCTGGCCATTTAAGGCATTTATGGCCATTAAAGTTTAAAAATGTTTCACTTGTAGTTGATTTGCATAAATATTTAAACTTGTTTAGCTTGCATAAGCATTTTTGCCTCTGACTTTTACCATGAAAATCCAGCATCCTGTGGCTTTTGCCGTACTTGTTTGGCACAAATTTTAAGTGATTTATGCTGGCCGCAATTGGTCTGCCCAATAAATACGTAGAACGCACCGAGAGCCATGAAAAATACAGGGGGCAGATCGTGTGTGGGCATCTGCATCTCCATCCGAGCCGGGGCATGCATATTTATTTGCCAACATTTACTTATGCTGCTGCAGTTGAGGCAAGTCGCTTTTTGGCCAACTCAAAGGCAGGTTTAGGACCAGACAAAGTTGCCAGCCATAGATTTGGCATACGGACGCACATGAGCTATCAGTTTGCAAAGCCAAACAACAACAGAGCACTTGAAAGTTTTCAGAATCGGCTTGGGCCGGCCCAGCCTTCTGTTTACCCGAGCACTTATTTATTTGATAATAATTTCCAGTTGCATGGGGCTTCTTCCAAAACAAACTATTTGCATTGGCCTTTCTGGGGAAGTCCGAGCCCGATCCATATAACGAGGAACTCGACCGGCCGGCCAACTCTTTTGTCTAAATAAATAATCAAAATGTCATAACACAAGTGGCGTGCGACGAGGGCGAAACGCATCTCATCTGGCCGGCATGTATCTGCAATGTTTATGCAAATTCCGTGCAGCCACTGCATCCACTGCATCCAGCTCCTTGAGGCCATGCCGTGCTCCTGATTACGATACCCACGCAGCCAGATCGACCCGGCATCCCCCAGGATGCATCAGTGCAATATAAATATTTTACATAGATTTTACATAGCTGATTGAAGTCCGTATGCTAAGCCCGCCCCCCTGCTGCTCTTCTGCCCCTTCCCCCCAACTTGTAACTCATGCTGTGAAATTATCCTCTGCATGGCAATCATATCAAATCAAATTTAAAGTGCCCCTCACCAGGCACAGTGGGCCCATCGGTCGGAGGTGCCAGATCCTTAAAGTCCTCGGCTCGATTTGCTTTAATACTTGTTTATTTTTGCTGGTACTGAGGTGCCTGCATGGCTTCATTTGTGGCCACTAATTAAAATGCTTTTTGATGTGCAGCTTTCCTCTCATAACTTATTTATTTTCCATATTTTAGCTATGAGGCTTCTTGACAAACATATTTCAGTTTAAAGCTTGTGTAAATCAAATACAGATATGGCTTGTTTAGTACAAGTACTAAATTTAATCAAAATTACTTTTGTTGCTGGGAAAGAGGGGAATATTTTCTAAAAATAATTATGTATTGATGTAACTTTTCACACGAGGGTGAAAACTTATCAAATCATTTTAAATATGGTCAATAGACTATATATTTCAATTGAATTGGTCAATGGGTCGAGAAATCATATTCTTAGCATAAATAAAATCGTATTAAAATTATACATATGTTTTCCCTATTTATTATTAAAACAAAATAAAATTCGTGTCCAATCAAATACCGCAAAGAATTAAAGAATATAATCCGTTATTAACTAATAAGTGTTCCGTCTAATTGATATACATTTGTATGACAAATTTTTACAAATTCGTGGGGCATAATTAATTTACTGGCACTTCATTAAATATTTAAGTATTGATAAATTGTTCTAATATAATTAATTTTAGATTCATTTATTAATGATTTATGTGATTTTAATACTTTAATTTATGTATTAGACGTGTTGCATATTAGCTAAATTTAGTATCAGAAGTTTGGCAATTCAATAAGATTAATTATTAATTTATGATATTTGACCCATAAGCCAAATAAATAATATAGTTCATTGGATTCAGAGGGGTTTCCATCTATTCGTCAACCAAGTTAAGCCGGCATCCGAATTTAACCCATAGTTCGTACTTTGGCGAAATGCGAACCAGCAGTATGCTAATATGGCTCAACATTTGCATATAAAGGCGTAAGCCTAATTGAACCAGCTGTGATTGGAATAAGCATACCTCCCTCCCCCCACTCGTGAATGTGGGTGGTGCGAGCTTTGGTGTTGACCCACAATGCGGGTGGGCATAAGTAATAGTGGTGACGGTGGTGCAATTAATAGCTAATTTAGAGGCGATGTTAAAAAGGCAACATTATTTATGATTATTTGTTTATTGCTTGCGGGTCGTCTGCCGCTTTCCACCTGAACGAATTAACACCCCTCCTATTGAAGGACATCACCCACACCAACACACCCAAACCCACACCCACACCCACACCCACTCACATGCAAAGCAAAGCCGCTGGCAGCATTTAGCTGCAATAGACAGCCATTTTGTGGTGTTGCCTCGGCGATAAAGTAATAGCTGCTATTTGGGTTTATGACACACACACACACAGACACACTTGGACTCACGGGGAAGCTACATGTGTTTTTGGAAAATTTTCTCTGCTTCCGGCAGACACAAATACAGCCTTTGTTGTTCTTTTCCGCCAAGCCAAAAGCAGAAGCCGGAGCCAAAGGCAAAGCTGCAGATTGATTGCACGGTGAAAAACATGGTAGTTTGATATTAAAGAGGGATTAATGCAGACACTAACATCGATTAAGGGCGCTATTATGCTTTAAAAAATGAGAGGTTTGGAGAAACCGATTTAAAATACGGTTTGACACCTTAACTTACAATTTCAGTAGACAGGTTTCCACAGAATGTCTATAAATGACAAACAAAATTAATTTATTTAAATTTTTAAGTTATTCAAGCCTTTGAATCTTCTGAACCCTGAGGAAGAGTTTAGGAAAACTTAACCTCAAACGATTGTTTCGAAAATGGTAATAAATTGTATCTTCCTTTTTGTTAAAGAATTTTTAGAAGATTTTTAAACTCTTTAAAAAATATTTAAATATGAGTGTAAAATACTATAAATACTTGACCTTATGTTACAACTAATTTTCATTTGATAAATAAATATGCCAATCCTAGTAATTCGGTCCCTTAAATGGTTTTCATAATATAGAGTCATTACTTAGTTGAAAACTTCTTTAATTCATATTTTATATGTATTATAAAGGGCTTCAGAAGAAATTTTTCGGTTAATGTTGGTTTATAACATCCGTTTTGGAAATAGTTGTATCTTTGCCTATTGATTGCAATTCGAATTGTATCTGAATGAAACACACTGTACTGTATGCTAACACCATTCTGAATAATTGCCCATATTTTTTTTCTCTGTGTAAGGGACCAAAGAGGGCAGTGCTTGGTTTGTAAGAGGGGGAGGCGTGGCGAGGCGTCATTTTGTCTGCGGTTAGATGCGCGTACGTTTTCATGTTTTGTTCGCCTTTCTTTTCTCTTTGCTCCCCGCTCTTTATGCTCTTGTTCAGTTTTATTTTGTATTTTGTATTTTTTCCTTTTGATTTTTGTTTTGTTACAGCCATGTGAATTTTTTTTCACTATGGCTTTCGGCTGTTGCGCTGCCGTGTTTTTCGCGATTCGCGATTCGCCGTTGTTGCGGTTGCAGCACGTCTGAACGTGTTTATGGCGCGCATATCCGCAAATATGCAATCAGACCATAATCTACTTAATGTCTTTTTCGCCGGGCGGTGGGTGGGTGGTTAAGGGTCCACCGGCAGCGCGAAAAAAAGTACCCATTGTGAATGAAGTAATGCAGTTTGCCACATTCCGGCCAACGCACACACACGTGCGGCGCGTATTTATGGCCAAAAGCAAAGGACACGGCCCATTTACCGAAATTAGGCTGTCACTTTTTGGCCATTCGCGCATTAGCTTCAAAAATGAAGTTAAAAGTGCGTGTTCTCGGCGCTTTTCATTATCAAGACTTGTGTTGCCTACTTTTTGGGGCCAGCGAAGCGTGCAAAGCTTTGAAGTCCTGAGCAGAGTTCGAGGAAGATATCTAAGGAAAAGCAAATTTTTGGGATTATTTACAAATTATACAAATTTGATTAAGTCAAGCCGTTTGATGGTTTTTCTTCACATATTATATAACATTGTTCTTAAGAAAAATCTAGAACCATTATGCTAATTTTATATTTATTAAATAATTTATTTCATTAAATTATTTTATAGCTGTTACCTAAGGCCAAAATGTTTCATAAAAAAAACTTCATTAATTTAAATTGCTATTTATGATAAAGATTACTACTTAACAATAATGATTCCCAATGCTGCACTCCCACCAAAGTCACATTTTTCAGAATTTTACCTCTCATTATTTCTTAGGTACTTAAGGTTCCACCGATTCTCTTCTCCGACTTAAATTTACACAACCTTTTAGCTAATTTTAAAGACAAGTCATAACACAAAAGCCTGAAGGACACAAAAAGCGGGGAAAACAAAAAGACGCTTGCAAAATATTTTGCCGTAGACAACATTAGATATTGTTTTGAGCTGTGCAGACATGGGCTGGCATTTTAGTTTTAGTTTCTGTTTCTGGTTGGAGTTTTGTTTCTGGTTCTGGTTCTGGTTCTGCCACTGCCACTGCAACTGCTAGTGCCTCCGTTTCTGTTTCTTTTGCCTGTTATTGTTATTGGGGGATGGCTGACAGTCTCCGACTGGCCTGTTATTGTTGGCCCGGCGCACAATGCGGCCATAAAAAGCTGGCAAAGGCAAACAATTGAAACAATAAAACGGCTTTAAGAAGGGGGGTTTCGGGACAGTAGATAAAGGCAATTAGTGTGCGGACTGCAGTTTACTTAAAGTTTGAATCGGAACCGGATCAGCTAGCTAGCTGGTGAGGGTGAGGGGAGTTGTGGTTTCTAATCACTTGGCATTGAAAAGCGCCTTGACCGTCTCGTCGGTGGTGTCGATGATCAGTTTGTAGTAGCCCGATCGCCGCAGCAGTCGGTCCTCGTCCTCGGCCACCCCGTAGATGTCCTCGATGGGCATCAGGATCTCCGACTCGTTGGGCAGGATCAGCTTGCGGGCATCCTTGCGGAACAGGGCCACCGCCTTGACCATGTTGGTGTGCGCCCTGGCATAGTGCTGGAATGTGAGGCTCTTCCGCTTCGCCGAGATCTTCGACTGGATGCGATCGAGACGGGCTATCAGCCGGAGCAGGATGAACCGGGCATAGCGGTCCTTGATCTCCAGCAAGGACATCTCACCGCCATCGTCGAGGGCTGGCCGCAGATATACACTCAGTATGATGAACACGAAGATGGCGTTGATCGCGAATATCACCAGTAGTATCACCAGCTGAAAGCAGTCGATGTCCTGCGAGAAGGCCTCTGCCAAGTGCTTCCAGTACATCAGGTCGTAGTGGTGCATCTTCCACTGGTAGTGCAGGTAGGCGGTCAATGCCACGCCCAGTCCGCTGTAGACCGCTATGTACGGGTAGTTCACGAAGAAGAAGTCGTTCACCTGCACTCGGAACTTCTGCCACAGCTCCATCGTGTCCTGAGTCCTGTTTCCTGGTCTATGTGAAGGTCCCTGCTTGTCGCGGATGAATTGAACAGGATTCGAATTTTCTATTCGGTTAATTTTGAATCGGGTTTTCCAAAAAGTTGAGCCTAGGTTTGAGTCTTCCGGCGTGTCTACTTAGTTTGGAGTATGGTAAATATCGAAGAAACTTCAGTTGAAATCGTCCTTCACAATATTAAACAATATATACAAGAAAATTATGTGAGTTAAATTATATATAGCCTTAAAATGGCTGGTTCTAATTTTGTAATCTTGGCATTGGTAATTTCTAGAAGTAGCAGAACGTTAATCAAATACATATATGATGACTTCACAGGGTAGTTCAAATAGGTTTAAGAAATGGCATCTCAAACTTTCATAATTTGATGATGAAAAATGCATTATAGAAGCAGTTTGGTAAAGCTTTGAATGGAGTTATAATAAGAGGGTTTTTTTTGGTCGATATAATTAATGAACAAGGGATGCCCACGGAAATTAAAAATATGATAAAATCAAAGTAATATTCAAAATTAAATTTTTATATTTTATTTTTTTTTTATTCTGTAACATTTATAATTTTGAAATAAAAGATTGTTTACAGAAAATAGCATGTTTTCAGAAGTTGTCTACCACATTTTGAGGAGATTTTAGAAGTCGGTCAAAAATTCCTTAAAACATTTATTTTATGTAATATTTTTACGTTAAAATTGTTTTTTATAAATTTGTAAATATTTTTAGTTATTTATCGGGTTTAATCAAATTAAATAACAATTTGGAGTATAAGAGCTTTTTCTGAGCCTTTTCACCCTGCAACCCAGATCCTTGTGGATGTCAAACATGTTGCTTGTTGACAAGGCTGGGTCGAACATGTTGTGCCTGAGAGGTTTGAGCTCTATAGGAGGTTTCTGCAAAAGTTCGAGTGGCTTTCGGCCTCACTCGCACAAATTTATCTCCTCCTCTGGAACTTGCAACCGCTTTTGGTTGTCGCAACTCACTTGGAACCGCCCACGACTGCAACTCGAACATGTGTTCAAACCTGTTTAAAGTTTTTGGACTTTGTGTTATTCTTTTTATTTTTTTTAAGCTGCAGGCCCCGAAAATGTGGAAATACTCAGGTTCTTGTTGGGCGACAACATTTCGCTATCTCGGCGAACTTTTGATAGCCCCCTCCCTCTCCCCATCACTCTTAACCGATTTGAGACGTTGATAAGGTGGCCAAAAAAAAAGAAGAAACGATAGCATACTTTTGAGCGCAATGCAATTTTCCGTTTTCCGTGCTCCTGGCTTTCCTTTTTCACTGTTTTTTGCTGTTTCCCCCTTTTTCGGTTCCGTTCTTTGTGCTGTGCACTTATTATTGTCTCTTTTCGGTTGACTTTTTGCGCCGAGGCCAAAGTGCATGCAAAACTGCATTTTGTAGACAAGCTGAAAACCGAAAACTGCCAGCCAAAACGGAAATATTCAAAAATTGTTGGCGGAGTGGGCGGTTGTGGGTGGTGGGTGGTGGGGGGTGCGGCCTATCTGGCAGCGCTCGGCCTTTCCCTTCTCTGAGTGTGTGTGTGCGCGCTAATAAAAACGTAAAATTTAATGGTTACGGAAGGCACTAAAAAACAGGCTCACCGACAGCACCCAAGTTGCTGCCTCTGTTGGCCTGCACTCCGAGAAAATCATGGGTGCTTACTAAATCAATTAAGAGTGGATTTGCTAACAGTAAGGAATGAAAACAATAATTATTTTACCCAGAAAAACAACTTTAAATAACATTTTTTTTGTAAGGACAGTACTTTACAAAGATTTATTTTTGAACACAAGCTTAGTAACAAGAATATATTTGAAATAAAGTTGTTTTTATTGTCTTAAAAATATTTGAACATAATTTGACTTTAAAAATTAAATTGATGATCAACATTTTTTTTCGTGTGGATTATATTTTTACATGGTAAAATAAAAAAAATTATCGTTATTAAAAAATGTTATTACGTTTTTTAAAAATTTTATTTTAACTTTATGAAGTGTTTTATAAATAATTTATTTAATCTTTATCTTGTATGTTTATTAAATTAAATGGATTCTAATTTTTTTAACTTTAAAGAATGCTAGTGTGAAACAAAAATTGTAACCTAAATAAATGTACAAGTATAGCAAATGGGCTAATACACTAAGGCATTATTTTTTAAAATTCTTAGTAGGCAATATTGTTTCAAGTGCATTTGCAGTACCCGCTGCACTGGTAGTGGAAAAGCCAGTGGTCTTTTGGCTGTGTGAGTAGTGGCGCTGGCGATAACCAAGCAACGAACCACAACCGCATCAAGGCGCGCGGGGAAAACCAGTCGATGGGCAAAACTGTAACTACGCCAACCGCCGCCGTCCTTGCCGCTCTGCCACCCCCTCAGCCACTCCCTCTGCCACCCCATCTGCCACCCCCTTTCGCCACCCCTTTCGCCACCCCTTTTGCCACCGCCGACGCAGTGGAGCGCCCATCCGTGCACGTCAAACGCAGACAACTTGAAAAATGTAGAGACAGCGCCGCAGTATAGTTGAAACACGCCAAAAAATATGCAAAAGTAAAATAAAACAGGCGCAGACACAGGGACAGACAAACGCATTTGGGCCCGGCGAAAAGCAGGCCCAAACCAGCAACTACCAACACCAACTGCCAACTGCCAACACCCAACCAACGTTCGACATTCAAGGGTCGAGGTTCGACATTTGCCGTTAAAGGTTTTTCGTTGTTGCTGTTTACACTCGATGTACTCATCTCCGCCAAAAAAGGTAGCACCGGGGTATATGGGGCCAGCACATTTTATAAAACTTTTTTCAGTTTATTATAAGACACTAAACTAAATAAGTTTTTGTATGAAAAATGCGAGAACTATTTGTTTTATAACTTATTTTATACCTAAAGGAAATTATATTTATTTAATGTCCTTTTAGCATTGGTTTTCAATTATAATAAGTATTTTTAGATGGTACAATACATTTTATGTTTTTTCTTTGTAATCAGGACTGGTAACACCACAACTTGTACATTGACAACTTGATGTTTTTTGGCAGTGCTGCTATTTTATCCTTTTCCAATAGTAACTATCCTTTTTGCATTTTTTTCCAAGCAAATGTGTTTATTTATCACAAGAATTAATCTTATCCTTATTTTAAGTAAATCGTAAAAAAAAATTGGTTAGGTATATAACAAAAAAAATAATGAATTTAAGAAAAAAAAAATGAATTTAGTGTCAGTTCATGTATACCACATACCACAAAATGCAGTAACGATACGATTCCGCTTTACTGCTAACTAAAACTATTCCATAAAACAAAAACTTATACCTTTCTCAGTATCCCTCTTTATTTTGACATCACGTAAGTCATTTGGCCTAAAGGCTTAATTATAATCAAAATGTATAATTTTGAGAAAATCTCTTTGTTTTAGGATGACGTCAAGGGAATTGTAAAAGGAGATCTAGTAATTAGTATTAAAGGGATTAAAGCTTATCTTAAATAAAACTATGCTTGTGGGTACAAAAAAAAAATATTTTAACAATGTTTGTATTGATAAATGTATGTAGATGCATGTTTTGACTAAATTTTAAAATTATTTGTGCCCGATTTGGTTGCTATCTCCCGTCACCACTGGTTTCTGGAAACTTTTATTTTGTTTTGTTATTTGGCAGCGCGTTGCACAATATTTTGCAGCAGGCAGTTTTTGCACACTTTTTCCGAGGAATCTCCCCCTGATGTCTGTCCACTTGACAGTGGCACTGGGAAAAGGAGCAGGAGGTGGAAGTGGAGGTGGAGCAGGAGGAGGAGCTGGAGTTGAAAAGCCAGTTGTCGCTGGGACCAAAAGTTATGTGGCCCGTCTGTTGAATTCATAGAGGTGTGCGTGCGGCAAAGGACTCTAAAAGCTAACTGAATGGACAGCAATTTGCGCGGCTAAACGAGTCCACAAAGGCTCCAGGACCTGCCACCAGCCCTTTTTTCCCACCTCCAAAAGGTTGTGCGCCTGCTACTGTAATTAGGTTTGTCGCTGACCAGACTCACATGGTATCGAATCGAATCGAATCGAATCGCATCGAATCGAAACGAGTCAAAGTCACCGCCACTCGGCCAAAGTATGCTGTAAATAATTCACAATTGTGCGACGCATTCGAATTTCGCACTCGCAACACTGGCGGCAGGACACTCGATGGCGGAAATGTTTGCCTTGTTTACAGCGCAGTGCATAAATTTGCAATTGCACGCAAACACATACGCATACGCATTCGCATTCGCATACGCATACGCATACATATACAGATGCAATGGTGCGTGCATTTCCGCAGGGGGTGGGTGTAAAGTGGGGGGCTTTTCCGAGGGGCGGCAGTCAAATTAGACCTACTCCCGGACAAAAAGTCCGACAGCAAATTTTCGTAGCTAACAGCATTTTCAAGTTTTATCGTTACGTGTGAGCGGGCGTTTACGGGTTTTGGGTTTTGGGTTGCGTTTGCCTTTGCCATTGCTCCTCGGCGTCCTTGGCACAGGCATTGTATTATGCTGCGTCCTAACAGCCGGCGCACGCACACACTGCGAGAAAAAACGGTCCTGAATATTAGAGAAAGTCATTCTGAACGCATATCAAAAAACCATGCTAACTGGTTCTTATAAAAACATTAACTACAATCCTACAGCCTTAATTAAGAACTGAAAAAAAGTAGTATTTCACGTTTGATTTTCTTAGGAAGCTACCAAATATTTGCTTTTCAAAGGTAATGTAAGTCATACAAATTATTGTTTTGAAAGGCCAACTTAAAAGGTTTAATTTTTAAATTTTTTTTATATTTATCACAATTGGCTTGAATTTCTGAACTGAAATCATAATTTCAATTAAAGGGATTATTATAAAACCATTTAGTTTTAAGCTGATAGTTAGTAAATTGACTTTAAAAATTGCTTAAATTTTATAAATTATTAATTAAGGCTTAGATAGATTGCAGATTAAGTGTTTAAAAATATTTAAAATATATTTTTAACAATAAATATATTTGTTCTTTTTTTACATAGTTAACTCGAGTTTAAAGTTAATTATTAATAGCATTACATCTCTAATATAAGTTTTTAACAGCCTTAAAATGTTAATGTAGGTAAGATAAATCTCACATACAATAAAATATACTTTTATCTTGAGTAAAA